CCCCGTGCCTCCGATGGTAGCGGTGGTCGCCGACGCGCTTTTCTGCGGCGCCGCCGTCTCCGGAGCTTGGCCTTGCCCTTGGTTCATCATCCCACCCCCCGGCCCCTATACGAAATTACATACATCGAATCAAATCACAGAAGACGGATTTCTAAAGTACAGATTTTTAAAACCGTTCTCGCATAAAGTTCAGATCTTTTTGCTTGATTTGCTTGAGAGAGAGGGAGAGAGGATGCCTGAGGGAGATGGAAAGGGAGAGATCCGGAGAAGCCATTGTAGAGAGCTTGGACAGAGCCGTCAACGACGTCGTTGGACAGAGAGGGCAAAGGCATCATCATGATCTGCTGCTGCTGCTGCTGGACATCAGAGGACGGCAGAGGAACGCTGCCGTCGTCGTCGGCGACGGAGGGCCAAGGAGCAGCGGAGGAGAAGATGTGGTCGAGGAAGTCGTCGTGGTCGAAGTTCGCCGGAGTTTGGATGTGAGAAGATGATGAAGACGATGGAGTTAAAAGAGAAGAATTCATGGCTATGCTCTTTTACAAAAAAAAAAAAACTTTTTTTTGTTTTGGGTTTTGTGTGAAAATGGATGTGGAAATGTTGAGGTTTGGCCCTTGGGCGTATATTATATATTGGAAGGAGGAATTTGAGGAGGAATATTTAATTTAAATTAGATTTTATAGTGCATAGGGTTTGAATTAATTTGGGTCTTTTTGGAGTTTTTATTTGTAATTTTAGTCATCTTTTTTTTTAATCCATAAAAATTAAAACCCAGTATGTAATTGATACTATCTTGAAGACTTCTTGTCCAACTGTCTTTTGAATTATTTATTTTTTTTGTTGAGTTAATTTTAAAAAATATATATATATTTTTTTAAAACTCTTGAATTGTGTATGATTTTTATACAACTTAACAATTAATGTTCACCACAACACGAAAGCTTTTGTTTTATAAAAAATATAACAATACAAATATATTGGAGCTTAAATATATATTCAACGGAGTGTTTATACAGGAGAATGTTAGCATATTCAAGAGCTATTTTAAAATTAGAAAAAAATTCAATTATTTTTTTAATTCTAATATACATCCATTTTATTATGAATTCCAAAACCATAATTGTGGTTTTTAACTTATATTTTCTCAAGGGATATCTCTTGAAAGAACAGTTGAAAAACTCTTCGAAATATCAAAGTATATCGGTTGAAAATATATATATAATTATATAAAAATATCTAATATCTAATATCTTTATTTTAGTTTAAAATATTTAATATATTTTTATATAATCATATAAATAATATAATTATAAAAAATCAACCAAAATATTTTAAAAAATATATATAATACAAAAACCTAATATAAACTAAGAGTTTTTTCGTTGTCCTCGGTATTTCTATGGTTTTGGATTTCCAAAGTCTCCCAAACATATGGTGTAACTGTAAGAGGTGTGGCAAAGATCGATCAACTCGGAACAATTCTACAATGTGCTCGGGGTGAAAATATATATCCCTCGTATGATCCTTGATCTTCGGCATCTACAATGATGTTCGAGTTTCCACTACAAGAAAAATTGCGAAATATGACAGAGTGTTCTGTCGCATAAAGATTTGTGACAGATAACGACTGAATATCGAAATCGAACTCATATTGCATTTTGTCGCATAAAGATTTGCGCCAAAATTGCGATAGATGACGACAATCTGCGAAAGAAAATTGTCGACGGATGTTATTCTGTCGTTCGCTGTCGCAAATGTCCTTTTGTAATAGAATTTTGCTTCTGTTTGCGACAGAAATATCTATCACAAATATCTGTAATTCTTGTAGTGCTCTCGATCGATCCGACGAAAATATTTGTTGGAATTGGAATTTTTTTTAATGATACATGACACACATATATATATATATACATGACCATCTTTTAACAAGTGAGAGTGATGCAATGGAACATGATCTCATAAATTTTGGATCCCAAATTTAAGTTATATTTATTACTATTAATTATACTTAGTTATAAAAAAGTAAATAAAATAAAGTTTATAAATTATCTTTTAAACTTCTACATCTGTTTCTTTTTAAAAAATAATAATTATACAACATTATTATTAAAAAATATAAATTAAAATTAATTACGTTACAAAATTTAATTTTATTATTAATTTATAGTTAATTCAAATTCAATTTTAAATTGGTTTCATAATTTATATGTTTAAATATTACAGAATTTTTTTTATCATTAAATAATATTTGTTACATAAATTAATATTTTTAAACATCATTAAATAAATTTATTTTATTATTTTTATTTTATAAATTTATGATTAATATTTTAAAATATTTTTAATAGAAATAATTTTTAATTTTAAAATTTATATTTTTATTGATTGAATTTTATAAAACATACATAACACAGAAAAATTTGATACGGCTCTACATACATACGTGCATATATTCATACGTACATATCTTCTCATGTTATAGATTATTGATCTAAAAAAAAATTAAAAAAAGTTTGACATATTCGTTCAAAAGTACTGCTTCTTTAATCAATATGATAACTTATTGTAAGACAAATTACTCAAATTCATTCTAAGTTCTTTTCTTTAGGATAATCGATGCATCAAGTAATTCTCAAATCTAATGATATTATGTGAAAATTTCATATATTAGCTCATTTCAAACATGTGATTTTCATTTTTTTTATTGGTTATAGATAATATATTATATAATATGCTATTATGCTTAAGATAATGTACATGAAAGTACATCTTTGTGCATGAACTGTTCATGATGTAAACATGAACCCCACAGCCATGCATGTCGGTTTTCAAATTGGAACCAAGTTCATTGTATATATAACACTCTTTAAACGATATATATATATATATATATATATATATATATATATTTGCTTGTTGATATGGAACGTAGATGCTTATTACTCAAATGGTAAAATCACAATGTCGTATTTACTGGAGAAAAAAACTTAAAACAATTTCATAAAAGCTATTATTTACTGCAGAAATTATGAAAAAATAAATACACAATAAAAAATTAATCTCATTTAGGAAGAAAAAAAAAAGATTGCCGGACCATATGAGTTCAAAAGAACATTAGTTTGCGAATGATGATGACACAATGAAAAGAAGTTATTGCATCATGATATTTATAATGTTTTGTCTGTTTGTTGAGGAAACCAATGCAACTTAAAATATTATTTTGATTTTTCAGAAATCTGTATAATAATTAATTTTGAGTGATTAAGCACATGGGACATTGCCCAACTCATAAAGACATGATGGGTTTTTATTAATTACTTTAACATTTTAAAAGTTTATAAACGTTTTGTCAAAAAAAAAAATTGTGTGTAGAAAGAATCCATATGATCTCGTCTATCATTAGAAACAATTGTAATCAATATATAATAATTATGTTTGTTTGCTCTTTGAAAAGCAAACCGAATGCCTTAAAAACAACATTAATAAAATAATTATGATTTTCTTTTTGTTCGGTTAAACCAAAAACAATAATAATATTTATAATATGATATGTGTATATCTTGGTATACGTCTTTGTCGCTTCTTCCTTTACACCTCCATCCTCGTGTATACATACAAATACAAATACACATACACACACACACGAGTGTGAGTGTGTGTGTGTATATATGGTTAACATATTGTTACGAACATTAAATTTTAGAATAGAAACGGGTAAGTTGAAATATGAGAATATTACGATTAAACAATAAAAAAAATTCGGAATGTATTGAGTATGCGTAAATTTTTATTATAATATGACACACATAATTATTTTATAACTTTAAAAAATAAATTCATAAACCTCACTCCATTAAAAAAAAATGATCATGACATTTTTTTTCCGTTTTTAATATGACTGTGGTGGATATTAATAGATCTCTAATAAATAAATAATAATAAATATTGTAAAATATTTAAAACATTATATATTTTAGACATATATATCATGTTAAGATCCAACAATTTGTCGATTTAATATTTAATCAATCAAAATCTAACAATAGAAAACGAAAATATGCATGAAATCAAAAATAGATATAGAATACTTTTACTCTGTGATTTTTTATATTAGTTTATATGATCGCTTACTAATCATATTAATACACTAACACTAATCCTATTATAAGAATCTACGATATATAATGGCGTAAGAGAATGCATTTTCTTTCAAAAAGCTTAATTTAATTTTTACTGAAAAATCAATGTTCAAATTGCGTGTGCAATGTCCAAATCTTTATATAACATGCAAGAAAATGTCGGAAGTAGATATCTTTGTTGTTTGTAAGTTTAGGTATCTATCTAATCACAACTCCAACTACTTTGGATGTCTTAATTATCTGTTTGGTATTAGTTATTCTTATAATTATAAAATATTTTTCCTAAATGTTATTAAAGTATTCAAAAGGAAATAAAAAATAGAGCATGACACCCCCACAACTTCTAGGGATATTCCTACACCTAATGAGTCGATGATTTTATATCAATTTAATAACTGCTAAATGAGACTTTGATTTATTTATATTTTGTAAAATACAAATATTAAAATTGAAAACTAAATTTTATTTCTTAAAACCATTTATATTTGGCCACTACCACCAACAAATAATATTAAAAAAATCCACAATCATTATCAGAGTAATATCCTCGCACTTAAATATTAGTCAATTTTAAATCTACCATCTTATAAAATTTGATATCTAATTGATAATGCATCTTCATTCATTGAGTGTCTCTGTGTACATTTTCAACCATTATCATCAGTGACGGATCTAAAAATATATATAAAAAGGGACAATAATTTTATACATATAAATAATTCTGTAGAATCAGATTTTATTTTTATAAAGGTATTTGATAATTTTATTCATAGTTTTATAAAATTTGTAAAGAAATTACTATTTTTTAGTTAATTAAAGGGGTCTGTGATTTATATGAATTAGGTTCGTATCAGATTATCATATGATATATAATAGTGTGATAACTACTTATATGAAATGTGATCAAAATAAAATCATAATGGCTGGATTTATTTTCCCATTAGAAAAACATAATCTCTTCCAACACATCAATGTTTATATTTTTTTATAAATATTTCAAGAAGGGTTAAATATTTTTTTTTTAAAGGAAAGCATGAACTGTTTGTACTTGGGATTACCATCCCAAGGCCATTATTATATTGTGAAAAATTATTGACAATATTGGAAAATCTGCCGGAGAAAAATGTTATGAAAATGTCTCAAATTGAAAAAATAAAATAGAACTTCGTTATTAGAATTTTATAAGCCGTAATAAAACACGACGACTTTGTAACACACTTGTTTGCTTCAACGGTCTCACAGTCGTGAATTTGAACCATTCCCTGTTATTTGAATACATCAAAACGCCATTTCACAAACACAGCACTCCTCCAACCAATTATATATATATATATATATATATATA